AGTCCTGTGTCACTAGTGTCAGATTATGGGGCTACACGTATTGTCCAGTCCTGTGTCACTAGTGTCAGATTATGGGGCTACACGTATTGTCCAGTCCTGTGTCACTAGTGTCAGATTATGGGGCTACACGTATTGTCCAGTCCTGTGTCACTAGTGTCAGATTATGGGGCTACCCTTATTGTCCAGTCCTGTGTCACTAGTGTCAGATTATGGGGCTACCCTTATTGTCTAGTCCTTTGTCACTAGTGTCAGACTATGGGGCTACACGTATTGTCTAGTCCTGTGTCACTAGTCTCAGTCTATGGAGCTACCCTTATTGTCTAGCCCTGTGTCACTAGTGTCAGACTATGGGCTACCCTTATTGTCTAGCCCTGTGTCAATAGTGTCAGGCTGTGGGGCTACCCTTATTGGCCAGTCCTGTGTCACTAGTCTCAGCCTATGGGGCTACCCTTATTCTCCAGTCCTGTGTCACTAGTGTCAGGCTATGGGGCTACCCTTATTGTCTAGCCCTGTGTCACTAGTCTTAGTCTATGGGGCTACCCTTATTCTCCAGTCCTGTGTCACTAGTCTCAGACTATGGGGCTACCCTTGTGTCACTAGTGTCAGATTATGGGGCTCCCCTTATTGTCCAGTCCTGAGTCGCTAGTCTCAGACTATGGGTCTACCCTTATTGTCCAGTCCTGAGTCGCTAGTCTCAGACTATGGGGCTACCCTTATTGTCTAGCCTTGTGTCCCTAGTGTCAGACTATAGGGCTACTGTTATTGTCCAGTCCTGTGTCACTAGTGTAGATTATGGGGCTACCCTTATTGTCCCGTCCTGTGTCACTAGTGTCAGACTGTGGGGCTACCCTTATTGTCCAGCCCTGTGTCACTAGTCTTAGACTATGGGGCTACCCTTATTCTCCAGTCCTGTGTCACTAGTCTCAGGCTATGAGGCTACCCTTATTTTCTAGCCCTGTGTCACTAGTCTCAGGCTATGAGGCTACCCTTATTGTCTAGCCCTGTGTCAATAGTGTCAGGCTGTGGGGCTACCCTTATTGTCCAGCCCTGTGTCACTAGTGTCAGACTGTGGGGCTACCATTATTGTCCAGTCCTGTGTCACTAGTGTCAGGCTATGGGGCTACCCTTATTCTCCAGTCCTGTGTCACTAGTCTCAGCCTATGGGGCTACCCTTATTCTCCAGTCCTGTGTCACTAGTGTCAGACTGTGGGGCTACCATTATTGTCCAGCCCTGTGTCACTAGTCTCAGTCTTTGAGGCTACCCTTATTGTCTAGTCCTTTGTCACTAGTGTCAGACTATGGGCTACCCTTATTTTCTAGCCCTGTGTCACTAGTCTCAGGCTATGAGGCTACCCTTATTGTCTAGTGACACAGGACTAGACAATAAGGGAAGCCCCATAGACTAAGACTAGTGACACAGGGCTGGACAATAAGGGTAGCCCCATAGACTAAGACTAGTGACACAGGGCTAGACAATAAGGGTATCCCCATAGTCTGAGACTAGCGACTCAGGACTGGACAATAAGGGGAGCCCCACAGTCTGACAATAGTGACACAGGGCTAGACAATAAGGATAGCCCCATAGTCTGACACTAGTGACACCGGACTGGACAATAAGGATAGCCCCATAGTCTGACACTAGTGACAAAGGACTAGACAATAAGGGTAGCCGCATAGACTAAGACTAGTGACACAGGGCTGGACAATAAGGGTAGCCCCAAACAGGTACTGGTTACCTATGTCATACAGATACAGGTAACATATGTCTTACAGATACAGGTAACCTATTTCATACAGATACAGGTAACATATGTCTTACAGATACAGGTAACCTATTTCATACAGATACAGGTAACATATGTCTTACAGATACAGGTAACCTATTTCATACAGATACAGGTAACCTATGTCATACAGGTACAGGTAACCTACATCATACCTGTATCTGTATGATGTAGGTTACCTGTACCTGTATGATGTAAGTTACCTGTATCTGTATGACATAGGTAACCAGTACCTGTTTGGGGCTACCCTTATTGTCTAGCCCTGTGTCACTAGTCTCAGTCTATGAGGCTACCCTTATTGTCTAGCCCTGTGTCACTAGTGTCAGACTGTGGGGCTACCCTTATTGTCTAGCCCTGTGTCACTAGTCTTAGTCTATGGGGCTACCCTTATTGTCTAGTCCTGTGTCACTAGTGTAAGGCTATGGGGCTACCCTTATTGTCTAGTCCTGTGTCACTAGTGTCAGACTATGGGGCTACCCTTATTGTCCAGTCCTGAGCCACTAGTGTAAGACTATGGGGCTACCCATATTGTCCAGTCCTGTGCCCCTAGTGTAAGACTATGGGGCTACCCTTATTGTCCAGTCCTGTGTCACTAGTGTCAGACTGTGGGGCTCCCCATATTGTCCAGTCCTGTGTCACTAGTGTAGGACTATGGGGCTACCCTTATTGTCTAGCCCTGTGTCACTATTGTCAGACTATGGGGCTACCCTTATTGTCCAGTCCTGTGTCGCTAGTCTCGGACTATGGGGCTACCCTTATTGTCTAGCCCTGTGTCACTATTGTCAGACTATGGGGCTACCCTTATTGTCCAGTCCTGTGTCCCTAGTGTCAGACTATGGGGCTACCCTTATTGTCCAGTCCTGTGTCACTAGTGTAAGACTGTGGGGCTACCCATATTGTCCAGTCCTGGGTCACTAGTGTAAGACTATGGGGCTACCCATATTGTCCAGTCCTGTGCCCCTAGTGTAAGACTATGGGGCTACCCTTATTGTCTAGTCCTGTGTCACTAGTGTAAGGCTATGGGGCTACCCTTATTGTCTAGCCCTGTGTCACTATTGTCAGACTATGGGGCTACCCTTATTGTCCAGTCCTGTGTCCCTAGTGTCAGACTATGGGGCTACCCTTATTGTCTAGTCCTGTGCCACTAGTGTAAGGCTATGGGGCTACCCTTATTGTCTAGTCCTGTGTCACTATTGTCAGACTATGGGGCTACCCTTATTGTCCAGTCCTGTGTCGCTAGTCTCCGACTATGGGGCTACCCTTATTGTCTAGCCCTGTGTCACTATTGTCAGACTATGGGGCTACCCTTATTGTCCAGTCCTGAGCCACTAGTGTAAGACTATGGGGCTACCCATATTGTCCAGTCCTGTGTCACTAGTGTAAGACTGTGGGGCTACCCTTATTGTCCAGTCCTGTGGCACTAGTGTAAGACTATGGGGCTACCCATATTGTCCAGTCCTGTGCCCCTAGTGTAAGACTATGGGGCTACCCTTATTGTCCAGTCCTGTGTCGCTAGTCTCCGACTATGGGGCTACCCTTATTGTCTAGCCCTGTGTCACTAGTGTCAGACTATAGGGCTACTGTTATTGTCCAGTCCTGTGTCGCTAGTCTCAGCCTATGGGGCTACCCTTATTGTCTAGCCCTGTGTCACTAGACTTAGTCTCTGGGGCTACCCTTATTGTCTAGTCCTGTGTCACTAGTGTAAGACTATGGGGCTACCCTTATTGTCTAGCCCTGATCCATGTTTTCAGGTTGTTAGAGGAAGCTGCTAAGGGAGAGAACATCCGTCACCAGGACCTGACTACCGTTGTGGGTATAGTGTCCATCAATACTAATGGACAAATTCTAGCCTGGAGATTCGTACAGCAGAATTGGAATAACTTCCTGAAATGGTGAGAACAAGTTATAAAAAGATAATGTTGTTTGTGTTTAATGTTATTAAATCTGCAATTTGGAATTTAATTTAATTTATGTTTAAAGAAGCATTGTTCTTTTACCTTAAGAAACCACTGTTTATAACGGACAGCTGTCTATAACCACAGGTTGAAGAATTCTCCATAATATTTGTAAATATCTATAATAATGATATTAAGGTGGCTCGACACATCGTCATCAGCGTCCATTTTCGTGACGTACTTCCGGAAAAAGTACAGCTCGGACTCAATTATCTTGATCGAAATGTGCATGTACACCGTGTCGTCATTTCCGTTTTGCGTATCGGGTATTCAATATCGTAGTGCAAATTATAGTAACACCTGGGCCGTTTGCGTTTAAACGGTCAAACCGATCGGACCACTGTTGTTCGTTTATTAAATAAGGTTTAAAAACCTAGTTATCTGATGCTGCTTTCAGGCGAGCATTGAGAAAGCCTTGCAAGTCTTGCATACACATTTGTAGGTCCGCCAGGATTTATACCCGGAATTGTTACATTTATAAACGGTCAAACCGGTTGTTCCGCATAAACGAACAGGCCCCTGGTAAACAATAGTACACGTGCGTGCCGATGATATGTCAACACCCGATATCGAGATTTTACCGGGAAATGTATAATCACACGTACTTCAGGAATAAAGCTTTCCAATTCATTGACATAAACAGACTCACGGGAAGACAGTGACATGAGACCAGACGACCTCAAGAAGGTCATATAGGAAACACATGGAATGCGGACGTACCAACCTCATATGTGCATATCACGTGCTTACACGAGTTCATAAGCTGAGGGAGTTTCGCTCTGTCGATTAAATCGTGTTTACAAATGTAGTCTACTTACTCTGTGAAAATAATGTTTTGTAAAATATCAAGATACCTATGAAATGCATGTGTGAGGGCACGTGAGAACGGCATACCATGCGATAGCCTCTGGTCACATATGTACCTGACATGTAATTATAAATATACCGTGAGTTAGCGGACTGTGGAATGATGTCCAAAGTGTACATGACTGAGGGTAATTTGGTTCCATTAAAGAACAATAAATTGATAATTTTGATATCATATTTTTGATTTATTTCCATCATTTGTTATATGTAAACAGAGACAACTGTCATTGTGTAAATGTCATCCCTCTGCAAAAAGTTCCGATTTTTTTCAAGGAAGATAACTCTCACCCGGATCAAAGTGATTGTAAAATGTAAAATAAATTAATTATAAAGCCATTGTGTATATTTTGTTCAATTTCCCACTCTATATGTATAGATCTGTGTGTCCTGTTTGCTTTTAGCTTGTAGATAATCACTTTTATCCGTTCAAATTCAATAAAAAACACTTTGTGTAACATGTGTTACATATTTTGCGATAAATAAAATATTTGTAGGATTAATTATAAATGCTTCTTTTCATTTTTTTATTGTTTTTATTGTTCCGAACAATGCCACACACAAAAAAAAAACGGAAAATATTAAAAGTGGCGAAAATTCAATTTTTTGGTATTTTTTCCAAAAAATTCCCCAAACTATCGGAATGTTTAGATTTTCATAAAATTAACTCTGCATAGTTGCATAACCATTATATGAAAGTTTCAACGAATTTTGCTGGTTAATTGCGAAAGTGTGGAGCCACCTTAAGTTAAGTTGTAAGGGATTTCATTTGTAAAAGAAAAGCAAAAACAATTCACATACCTTATATTTGTTTAACACTTTTAGAGAAAAAATATAAAAAAACAGTACTTACTCTGTATCTGTTTGTCTATGTTACCTGTATCTGTATGACACCTGTATGACAAAGGTTACCTGTATATGTATGACATAGGTTACCTATATCTGTATGTCATAGGTTACCTGTATCCCTGTATCTGTATGACATAGGTTACCTGTATCTGTATGGCATAGGTTACCTGTATCTGTATGACATAGCTTACTTGTATCTGTATGACATAGGTTACCTGTATCTGTATGACATAGGTTACCTGTATCTGTATGACATAGGTTACCTGTATCTGTATGGCATAGGTTACCTGTATCTGTATGACATAGCTTACCTGTACCTGTATGACATAGGTTACCAGTATCTGTATGACATAGGTAACCAGTAACTGTATGACATAGGTAACCTGTATCTGTATGACTAAGGTTACCTCTACATTTTGTTATGGCATGGGTTACCTGTATCTGTATGACATAGGTAACCAGTACCTGTATGACAAAGGTTACCTGTATATGTTTGACATAGGTTACCTGTATCTGTATGACATATGTTACCTGTATCTGTATGACATAGGTAACCTGTACCTGTATGATGTAAGTTACCTGTATCTGTATGAAATAATTTACCTGTATCTGTATGAAATAGGTTACCTGTATCTGTATGACATAGGTTACCTGTATCTGTATGACATAGGTTACCTGTACCTGTATGGCATAGGTAACCTGTATCTGTATGACATAGGTTACCTGTACCTGTATGATGTAGGTTACCTGTACCTGTATGACATAGGTTACCTGTATCTGTATGACATAGGTAACCAGTACCTGTTTGACATAGGATACCTGTATCTGTATGATGTAGGTTACCTGTACCTGTATGACATAGAATACTAGTGCCTGTATGCCATTGGTTACCTGTATTTGTATGATGAATTTTACCTGTATGTATTTTTTATACTATCTAGGTTTGGCAGTGCATCCTTTATCCTGCCCAGCCTTGTAAAGAGTACCACATCATCATTCTCTACAGAATTCGATTATGAAGAGGTATGTTATTAAGTCTGTCAAAATATTGGTTTTATTTATTATTTTTTCATGCACATTATACTGCAACACAATTTCCTGAGAATTTTTCCCTTTTAAGATTTACTATTTAGATTTACAGTTTTAGCAAAAAAGGAATAAGAAATTTCTTAGAAAGAGCTCTTTGTATATCACAGTTTCTGTCTTTGAGTAAAATCTAATATAGGTAATGATATAAGAGTCTAGGACTGGACTTCAACCACTTGATTTTACATGTATAGTACTGTATAGTTGTTTGATTTCGTTGGGCTATTATTTCGCAGTTGCCGAATCAGAACTAGTTCACCGGGGTAAAATTTCGTGCAACATGGCTAGATGAAAACACCGTGCTCACAAGTGTTCTTTTGGATTTGGGTGATGGGATTCATTTTACAAGTTTTATTGTGAAATTAAAGGAAAATGCTACTTAAAAGTTTTGCGTTATCTTCATTATTTGGCAATGGTTAAACTTTTTTCTTCTTCTTTATTTGTAAATATATATTCATGGAGATTATATTCCATGGTATTTAATACTTCCTGGGTATATAATCTCACGCTGTCTCTGGTGACTAGGAATGTACGTAGAGAAATTACATCCCCCGTGAATATTTCCAACTAGACAGTAATAAACACTGCCATTGTTAAACATCTCATGCAAGTGAAGAACATTTTTTTCGAAATACGTTTTGTAATACAAAAAAATGTACATGTGTAAGAAAAAATGCGTTAGTAAATCCAGTGTTTATTTGACCCCTGCATAAGGACTAGATCATGTGGGCTAGGACGTTATTTGGGTAAACATGGTAATAGGATGTTATTTAGCAGACCTCTTTTTCTATTATTATATATTTTTTTAGGTCACCTGAGCTTTGCTCAAGTGACCTATTCTAATCGCTTTCCGTCCGTCGTCGTCCGTCGTGCGTAAACTTTTACATTTTCGACTTCTTCTCAAGAACCAGTGGATGGATTTTTTTCAAACTTGGTCAGAATCATCCTTGGTAGAGGAGGCTACAAAATTGTAAAATTGGGATTCCTAGCCCAACCCCTGGGGCCAGGGCGGGACCCCAAAGGGAAAATTAACCAATATTTTAAAAAATCTTCTTCTTCAGACTCAGAGGTACTACAGTCATTTTCTCTGCATGGAAAGAAAGATCATCAGGGGCTTTACGTAAATTGTAAATTTCAGGACTCCCCAGCTATCCGTTCTCCCTTGGGGAGGGGGTAAAGTTTACTATAGTTTATATAGGGAAATAACACTTTTGGGTATATTTTGACAACTTTCTGTAGGAAATTATTTTTACTTGGTGAGAATTATCCTTGGAGGTAGATGGTTTCAAATTGTAAAATTGAGATTCCTACCCCGACCCCTGGGGCCAGGGCGGGGCCCCAAAGGGAAAATTAATCAATATTTCAAAAATCTTCTTCTCCAGACTCAGAGGTACTACAGTGATTTTCTCTACGTGGAAAGAAAGATCATCAGGGGCTTTACTTAAATTGTAAATTTCAGGACCCCCGAGCTATCCGTTCTCCCTTGGGGAGGGGGTAAAGTTTACTATAGTTTATATAGGGAAATAACACTTTTGGGTATATTTTGACAACTTTCTGTAGGAAATTATTTTTACTTGGTGAGAATTATCCTTGGAGGTAGATGGTTTCAAATTGTAAAATTGAGATTCCTACCCCGACCCCTGGGGCCAGGGCGGGGCCCCAAAGGGAAAATTAATCAATATTTCAAAAATCTTCTTCTCCAGACTCAGAGGTACTACAGTGATTTTCTCTACGTGGAAGGAAAGATCATCAGGGGCTTTACTTAAATTGTAAATTTCAGGACCCCCGAGCTATCCGTTCTCCCTTGGGGAGGGGGTAAAGTTTACTATAGTTTATATAGGGAAATAACACTTTTGGGTATATATTTTATCCATTTTCAGCAGAAAATTACTCAAACTTAGTCAGAATCATCTTTGGTGAATGAGAGTATTACTTTGGAAAATTAGGATTCCTGCCCCATCCCCAGGGGCTAGGGCGGGGCCCCAAAGGGAACATTTACCAATATTTTCAAATTCTTATCCTTTGATGACATGACAAGTATTGTATTTCACTTAGTTTACATGCTGATTTCCACATCACATCTAAACAATAAAATAAAGCTACCAGTACCTATGATATAACTCAGGTGACCGCTAAGGCCCTTGGGCCTCTTGTTTAAATTTTATTTTGGAAATGAGAACTGTCAATCTTTCATATGATTAATGCCTGGATGTTTTAAATCCATAGGTGTCTGCCTTCTTCAAATCCCATGAGTCTAAGGCTGTGAACATGTCTGTGGAAGCGAGCCTAGAGAGTATAAGGATGAACATTGATTGGCTGGAGGACAATGAAGACATGGTGACTAGCTGGCTAAATAACCCTAAAAACAGCCTGCCGGACAACAGGTAAACCCCAAGGGATCCGTGTAGAGGGGACCAGGTATACTAGACATTTGTTTTACTTACTTCTGAAGATTATAAATTATGTGTACAGGAACATTGTGTAGTAGGAACAGTTTATTTAAAACAGCCTCATTGTAAAGACTTGGTGTGTGTGGAAACCATAGTTCCACCCGGAAGTTGACTTCGTGTATGACTAGGATGGCGTTCACTTAAACGCATTGTAGTGTTAACAATTGTAATACCATAATATATACATCTCCGGCTAGTAAGCCAAGCAAATACTGGTTAATTTGGTGTCAAATATGACACAAATAATTTGTCTGTATAAATTGTGTTCAATTGTTATTTTCGAGATGCTAACATGTGTTCAGTTGTTATTGTGTATATGAAAAACTATTGGTGGATTTTTTTCTGGTAGTTGTTTGGTTATGGCGGCAACACCATCAGCTACAGTTGGGGCAGTTGTGTCACTTTCATTTAACTGTAGTTATTTACGGTGGCTTGTTTGTAAGATCTGGTTGATAAATGAAATTGACACATGTATCGATTTCACAAAATTAAAAAAAATATTTTTGCCATAAAGAGATTGAGATCAGCAGGCTTTAAATCTTTTACATATTTGTAACTTTTTTTTTAGATTAAAACAGACAGTGCAGGTTAAAAGCATTCGTATGAGATTTATTAAAAAAAACCATTTTTCACTCAAATTGTCTGCGAGATTTTGCACAGGGGAACATCTGAAAAGCAGCATGAAAATTGCAACTTGATTTTTTTATTCTCGCATGAAAGCTTTTTAACTTGCACTGTCAGCTTTAAGTCACTAGTGCTGAAATTTACTTTACAAATTTTCTGTATGTCAATTTTACATACGAATGTGAATGCATGTTGAGTTTAGAGCACTATGTAGTTCTATTTATAAGTATCTTTCAAAAAATCATTCCAAACCTGTACCAAAACTAGCATATTCTGTAAGATACTTAGCTATGATAGCATGTTGTGTTGGACTTGTTGTGAATTTTTTATGGTATGTTGAACATTTTGTGAACTATTTATAGTATGTTGGACATTTTGTGAACTATTTATTGTTTATTGGACATTTTGTGAACTATTTATAGTAACACTACTTAATCGTCACTGGTATTAGCCTCATTAAGATTTTAATAGTTAAGTACATGGAAAACTTTCAATTTTTGACATTATGACTTATGACATTCATTGACAACTGATTTAGTTCGCCTCCAAAATAACATACTACACAATTCTCATCAGTTTAACAAAGAGAAATGCTTTTAACTTCAATTATACTGTATTGCTTTTAAAAAAAAAAATGATCCATTAAATTTAAAATAAAAAGGCTTTTCATTTACGCAGAACAACTGGTTTTTCAAATGTACTTAACTCATTCACCCCTGAAATTTCATAATGAACTCATTCACCCCTGAGATTTCATAATGAACTATACAAACCTTTGAATTGGAAGAGTTCAAATGTGTCTTCAGGGGTGAATGAGTCAAAGGAATATTTTCAGGTGTAAAGCTAGGTGTTTGATACAGGCCTTAAATGACCTTGCAAAGGTCAACAAGATAACAACAGACAGCTAGTTTATCTCTGGTCAAAACAATCAAACGTGTTGGAATGCAATAAACAAAATTGACCTGTAAATATGTAACAATGTGTAGAGAACAAAAGATGGAAATGATTTGATATTGTCAATGTGTAAGTTGTTAAAAAACGTTATTTTAATAATCTGATATTCAAAACCGTGTTTAGTGATATGCATGTAGTAACAGAGTGCAGACAGAGTTGTGAGATTATGAGGTACAGTGGATCGAAACCACAATTCAGATTGGGATGCAGATATAATGTCCATATCATTGATGTTATTATAAATTTGAAAAAAAAAAAATATTTTTCAAAAGAACTTAAGATGTTATTGCTAATCAGAGTCAGTTGAAGAGAATATTTCAAATATTGACAAAGAGCTCTTGTCATTTTTGGGGCCATATCATGTTGAAGATGTTATTAGCATAATATCTGTTATATGTGTTTGTGAAGGGTGATATTTTGTAAGAGCTATAGTGTGTATACAGGGTAAAATTATGGAATACAGGGACATACATAAGTTTAACAAAGAAATATATATCATAATGAAAATCCAATTTACCTTAAGACCCATTTTGAAGTTTTTTAAGTCCTTATTCCATCCTCATTCATTTATTTTCATGACCAAATACTTATGTTAGAAATCATCCTTTGCCATTTAATGTTGCTGTAATAAGAAATAAATATTATAAAGTGTATATGTTTGGCTGACATTTATATATGTACCTATTTTTTGTTGTACTGTACTGAGCTTAAGGTTACTCGACACATCATCATCAGTGTCCATTTACTTGACATACTTCTGAAAAAAGTAATCATTCCGAGTGAAATGTGCCTGTACACCGAAAAAAGTAACTCTCCAACTTTGAAAAATACAAAATCATACTCAATCAAATGAACGTTTTACATCAATGCAGTTTTAGCCAATTGTTTTGAAGGACTGAATTAAAATTAGAGAAAACGTCGAGGATTAGAAATGTGCAGGGATAACAACGATGGATGCTATACTAAGGTCTAGGAAGTTATTGGGTAAGCAAAGAAATCACAATATTCCGATTTCTTCAATTTAATCCTGATGTGTTAAGTGACCTTAATCGCTCTGTCGCTAATCATTACATTTGGAAGATCTGCTATTGTACAATCCATGAGTATACAATATATTTGTTGTATAGTTTTGGTATTTACACATTTTGATTATCTAAAATGACATTGTTGAGTATTACTTTTGATATTGCTATCAAAGTAATTAAAAGAAAATAATTGTACGTAATTCATCAAATGTTTTTTGTTGGGGAATGGAATAGATTTTTTTTTAAAAATGGAAACTAAAATTTTATGAAACTAAAGATTGATAAATGTTTTGAATGGCTTTTTTTCTCATTGTAATCGCTTTAAATTATTCTCCTTAAATTGAAGAAATTATGTTATAACATTGATATTAAGGACCAGAAATAGTTATTTATGGTTCCAGGAAGTTCTTGATTCACTTTAATATGTGGAACATGACAAATTATTAATTGAAAATAGATAATTAGGAATTAATAAAGAATGAATGTGACAATTTAGACCACCATCATCTGATGATGGGCTATTCAAATCACCCTTCTTGTTATCGCTATTTTCTCATATTTATATATAGGTTACCCTTGGTCTGGAGATCCGTTAACAAAATGGGCGAAAGGCTGCCATCTTGGATTTTAACAGTGAATGTTTATTATTGCTATTTCTCTGGAAGTTCTGGAAGAATCTTTCTCAAATTTTGATATGTAGGTTTCCCCTGGTCTGTTGCTGTGCATGTTGACTATGGAGAGTGATCATAAAAACAAGATGGCTGCCACAGAAAGTACTAATGAGATCTTTCTGATATTGTAATGATTGGATATACTTCTCCAACATATAAAGAACTGTACTAGTGATACATGAAATGGTGCATTTACTTTTTTCATGACTTGATCAAACAGATAAGAGAAAAGAAGAGAAAATATCAAACTGACAAAAACTAATGAAGATTGTACAATGGTGGATGCCAAGGTCCCTCTGGGATCTCTTATTTATTTAAGCTTTCCCAACCATCTAATGGTGTGAACTCCCTTGCATATATTTTTTTACTGTTTCATATATATTTATACTGCTTGAAGTAAATTTGGTAATGTAATGGTGGTGAAGCTGTGGGCCGGGTAATATATAGATGTTGTACTGTATTCATAGTAAGACTTATTAATCTCAACTATAAGATGCCATATTTATTCATTTTATGATCATTCACAACAAAATTTATAAAATCAATAAAGATGTTTAGAGTCAAGTTGCAAAATACTTAAAATTATACTTTTTGTGTGTTTTAAGGTATTTTTTACTTCAGTACACAATGTATCAGATTCCTTATTGTAGTAGATACTCTGGCAGATTTTTTATAATATCTCTAAAAGATATTCTCTCATGATTCAATCAACTGATACACATATCACTTCCTACAAATAACTGTTACCTCCCTTTATATACCCCCCCTCCCCC